AGGATCCTGCTTTGAACGTCGACGTTACTGAATCCAAACTAACTTGGTCCCATATCCAAGAATCACTTTATGTTGTGTTCTTATGCTCCAGTTATTTCTGCTGAAAAGGCTTATCACGAACAATTGTCTGTTGCTGAAATTACCAACTCTGCTTTCGAACCAGCCTCAATGATGGCTAAGTGTGATCCAAGACACGGTAAATACATGGCTTGTTGTTTGATGTACAGAGGTGATGTCGTTCCAAAGGACGTCAATGCTGCTGTTGCAACTATTAAGACTAAGAGAACTATCCAATTCGTTGACTGGTCTCCAACTGGTTTCAAGTGTGGTATCAATTACCAACCACCAACTGTCGTTCCAGGTGGTGACTTGGCTAAGGTTCAAAGAGCTGTCTGTATGATTTCCAACTCTACTGCCATTGCTGAAGTCTTCTCCAGAATTGACCACAAGTTCGACTTGATGTATGCCAAGAGAGCTTTCGTCCATTGGTATGTCGGTGAAGGTATGGAAGAAGGTGAATTCTCTGAAGCCAGAGAAGATTTGGCTGCCCTTGAAAAGGACTACGAAGAAGTTGGTACTGAATCCCAAGAAGGTGATGGTGAAGAAGGTGAAGATGGTGGTGACCAATAAATCCATTAATCTCACTTTCAGTGCAATATTGTTAATGTAATAATTGAACAATCAAGCATTGAAATAATAAAAATTAAAATTTAAAAAAGCTACCTTTTCTTAATTCCTTAATTCCTTAAATTAATAACTATTTCATCTTTTTCACATGTTCAGATTGTTTCACAAATGTCAACTTGTTGAACTAGAAAAATAAATTATATAGGTAATTAACTAGTTATTTTCATTAAAAAGAAGTTGTTTCTTTAAAAATTCACAAGCTACAATGCCAAATACATCCTTCTTCTTTCCAGATATTGCCTTGAAAGATTCTACAAGTTCCATTCTCTTTTCTGCTAGTTTCGTCTTGTCATTATGAAATAATTTTTCTTGTTCACTCATATTCTCAATGAATACATCAACTATTTCCATATCTATACCAAAGTCTCGGAAAAGTGGGGCGTAATCTGACTGATAGGTATCGAAAATGGTTTGTGGTGTTAGATTTTCTTTCGAGCAATTTGATGAGCTTGGTGATGAATTGGAAAGAGACTCTATGGAAAAGATATCCTCTCCAAAATCAAATAATGACTCTATTCCCGATGCACTATTTCTCTGCTGTAAATAGATC